AAAAAAAAAAAAAAAAAAAAAAAGAAGCAGTCTGAGAGCTCACACCAGCACCTAGGAAGGGACACCTTTCTTACTGACACATGAGAAGTCTGGAAAGCTGGCAGCTGCAGAGAGAAACAGTGGACCCACAGCATTACTAGCCCCAAGAAATGTGTAGCTACATAAACTCCAAAAACAGTGTAGAGTTTTACTCCAAAAGTGCCTGCTTCTACGTGGCAGGCTAGCGTTGGAGAAGAAATCCAGAGTAGTACCCACCATATTTGTGAGGGTTTAATCAGGAGCTACTTTGGGAAGGGGGTAATTGTTTAAGAACTGCTTCTCCTCTACAAGCCCTGTCTGCCACGCCACCATGCCTTGGAGTTAGTTGATTACTGAAATCTCTACAGACTGAGCTAAATAAACCCTTTCCCCTTTAATTTGGGGTACTGGGTGTTTTGTCTCAGCAATGAGGGAAGAGTAAGACAGAAGACAAGGCAACAAAATGCTTCCAAGAACTAATTCTACCAAATTTGATCCACGGGACACCAAAGGAATAAAATCAAAAGCCACACAGCTGTATTATTCAAAAGCGTAACAAAGGAAATTTTTTTTGAGATTGATAAGGTGCTCAGTGAACTCAAAGAAAATATAACTAAACTGTTAATGGACTTAATAAATAAAATGGTGAGTTTACAGAAGACATTAATAAAAAGCTAGATGATTTAAACAAAATAATACAAAAAAATGAATGACCAGTTTGGTAAAGATTTAGAGTTCATAAAAAGGTACCAAACATAAATCCAGGAAATTAAAACCTCTATTGAAAGTATGGGCAGCAGAAGTGATCAGCGTGAGGACCAAGTGTTAGAACTAGAAGACAGGACTAATGTCAAAGACAATATACTCAGAGATACCTTAAAAACAAAAAGAGAGCCAGGTGTAGTGGAGTATGCCTGTTATCCCAGAATTCAGGAGGTTGAAACAGGATTGCCATTTGAGGCCAGCCTGGTCTACAAAGTGAGTTCAAGGCCAGCGTGCACTACAAAAAAAAAAGAAGAAGAACAGAGAGAGAATATGAAAAATAGATCCACCAATTACCATATGATATGAAGGAGCCCAGTCTAAGATTAAATGGAATTGGTGAAAAATCAGAAGACAGCCCAGACAGCATAAAAAACTTATTTACTAAAATAATAGAGAATTTTCCAGTATGGGGAAAGAATTAACATGCAGATAAGTGAAACAATAATACCACAAATAACCACGACCAAAAAGAACTTGTTTATAACACATCATAGTTAAATTCCCAGAAGTACAACACAAGGATAGAATTTTAAAAGTTATTAGAGAAAAGAAATCACTTATGAACAGGTATACCTGTTAGAATTACAGCAGGCTTCTAAACATAAATCTTAAAGGCCAGATAAGTTTGGAGTGAAGTGTTTTAAGTCCTAAAGAAAAACAAAGTTCTACCCAAACTGATATTCTCTGCAAAATTATCTTTCAAAATTGATGGAAAAATAAGGTCTTTCCATGTCATAAAAAACAAAACACCTTAAGACATGAATAATCGCCAAACAAGCACTCAAAAATATTCTCAAAGATGTCCCAGAAAGAGACAATGTGTGAGAGACTGCTTGGGCCTGCACAAGATGGATGCCCTCAACCTTAGCCTTTGCCTCGGTGGAAAAATCCCACTAGACTATATACGTGACTTTTGGCAGGTCTAGCCCCTGGGCAAACAGGAAATCTTACAGAAAGAATAGCCCTTTGTGCTAACCACAGGGTCACGGGATCTGGAGCAGGAAGCAGGTGGTATTTCCCTGTCCTGCTTGCCCCTAGGGATTGTGAAGTTAAGGATCGCATAGGGTTAACTGTTGATGTACGCCTTCCCACTTACCCCTCCCCATATCTGGTAAAATACTGATTGCTGTATGCTGATAAATGCTTTGTCCCTTTATGGTTAAATGCTTGAGTGACTCATGTGATTGGTAGAAGATTTGTTTGAACTGTCCAATAAGCTTGCTGAACCTTCCCCCTGGGATAACAGTATATAATCGTTTTGCTGAGCCAATAAAGAGCTGCCACTGATATAATATCTACCCTACAAACCCGCGGTTTTCAAATCTCTAAGGATAAAATTCAAATTCACCCCCCTCAACTTTTCCTTGGTTTCGAGTTACTCCCCAACCAAATTAAAACCCAAAAGGTCCAGATTCGTACACACCACCTTAAGACTCTTAATGATTTCCAAACCTTACTTGGGGACATCAATTGGCTCAGACCTTATCTCAACATCCCCACGGGTACCCTAAAACCTCTTTTTGATACCCTGAAGGGTGACTCTAACCCTAACAGTCCTCGCTCCCTTACCCCTCAGGCACAAGAAGCCTTATCCTTTGTTAACTTAGCCATCCAGAATCAGTTTATTTCCTATTTTGATCAGTCTCAACCCCTTTTTCTTGTTGTTTGTCCCACCGCCTTCGCCCCTACCGCTGTTTTGTGGCAGTCGGCCCCTCTTTTTTGGATCCATCTCCCGTCCTCACCCTCCAAAGTTTTAGCCACCTACCCCCACCTTGTGGTGAAACTCCTGTTTCAAGGATGTGAAACTTCGGTGAAGCTTTTTGGCTGCCACCCCACTAAAGCTATAGTTCCATATACCAAACAAGAACTAGACTGGCTCCTTCAAAATTCACAAGAATGGGTTGTCTTTTCTGTTGGCTTTACCGGTGACATCGACAATCACTACCCTCCAAACAAATTGCTTCAATTTTTGAGTTTACACCCTGTTGTTTTCCCAAAGATTACCAAACTTCAGCCTATTTCTGATGCTTCCCTAGTGTTTACTGATGGCAGTTCTAATGGCACAGCCGCCTTTACTGTAGATGGCGCTGTTCACCAAGTGCCCACCCAACACACCTCAGCACAACTAGTTGAACTCTCCGCAGTTGTTAAAGTTTTTGAAACACTTCCCCAAGCCTTTAACCTATACACAGACAGCTGCTATATTGCGGCCTCTCTTCCTCTTTTGGAAACTGTCCCTTATATTAAGCCTTCCACTCCCGCCTCAACACTTTTTTCCACCATACAGACTCTTATTTTACAACGCTCCAACCCATTTTTTGTGGCCCACATTAGAGCTCACACTGGC